TCGGTCACCAAAGCCTAGGTGCAAATCCGGGCTATCTATCTTTGCACCCGGGCTATCTATCTTTTCCCAAGGGACACTATTTGCATTTCAAAGCAGGTCCCGGACATTATTTCCATTTGATACAGATGCTAAAAATATCTCACGTGAGTGCATGCCCCATTTGATGTGCAATGATTTGTGCATAGGTAGGTAAATTACGTGGAGAAAGCTATGCATTTAATAAAAGATCACAAGTAAATAAGAACCGAAAAAAGAAATTAATCCATTGTAGGGATGGAGCGTAGAGACTCAAATAAAATAAATACATGCGAAAATGAAATTGAACCAACATCCTAAGAAACTGACTTCTTCGGTCCCTTTTTGTGCTCCTCGAAAACCCACTCACCCAATCTATCTTTTCATTTGCTTCCATCGTTACTTCGAGCATGTCCCTGGTACTCTTACGCGCTAGAAGCATGCACGCGTAATGAAACATCTCTGTTTTCTGCTTCAACCAACCAATCACAAACAGCTCTTCAACATATGTTTTTGCATCATTTCGAGCTTGACGAATGATATCGTTGATCTTCGCCGACACTTCCTCCGCGAAATTATTAGCGCGGTCAACATAGAAGGAAAATTCGCGACTTGTAAATTTCTTTTTCTTCCCCTTCTACTTGCCTAACCCAATCTAACGTTTGTCATCGCTACAAGCGACTAAAACCTCCATGCTCCATTTACCTCTCACGTTCAATGACTCGTCGCTTGAGACGCTATTATCATCGTTACGGGGATCGCATCTCAAAGATCCTCCATACCGTTGTCTTTGAACAAGTCAAACCCTGTTCTACACAGCTTCGTCGGTGTGACTGCAAATTTTTCCCTGTCAAAGGTGTCTCCGAACAGCCATCAATACTGAAGTTATATGTCACTAACATCTGTCCTTATAATCCTTATATTTTCTATTCTCCTACGACAGCATTAAAGACAAATAAGTACTATGATATGAACATTGTATAGCATTAAACACA